CTGCTGCCCCTCCAGTTTGCCAGAAGCTGCAACACTCCCACCAACACTGAAACCTGCCATTAGTTGTTGTCATTGTGCCTCTCATTTTTAGATTAGAAAAATGTAAAACCCACATTCCTATCAAAAGGAGTGGGTAAAGCTACTCATAGGAGGTACAGTACGTTTCTGAAATCGGCATCATGAAGTGAATTTTAATTCACAACAGAAACAGTGAGATTTCTGTTCTGGACAAAAGCACGTATGGTAGACTGTAGGTCTGTCACACAGCATGTGAGCGCTGCAGCACAGGCACACTGACGCTCCTGCTGGTGATCCCCCTGCAGGACTGCTGGCCCCCTGAATCAATTAGGCTATTACAGGAGCAGCAGCAATAAATTAACTCCAAAACTTCTCAGAGGAGACGTTTATTGTCTTACAGAACCGGGACAGGGTGGCTCCACGCTGACTCCGCAGCTGCCTGTTGTCCTCAGAGCCTCAGCCTCTGAGCCTTTGTCCCGCCATCCCTTGCTCCCTACTGCACTCTGAGCCCATCCATTAGTGGTTTCACGATGGCTGCCACAGTTGGGGAAGCACGAGGCCAGTGTTGGTCTGCAAGGCACGTGACAGCCCATAAAGAAGCAATCATTTTGTTGTTGTTCTGTCTCTTAGTGAAAGAGAAAGCCTTTCTCAGAAGGCCCTGGTAGGCATCCTCTTGAGCCCTTGTCCAGAGAGCACCCAGTTTCTCCCATCTAGTTACAGAGGTTCTATTACAAGGTTTCCCCTCACTCACTATGCCCTCCCCGTTCTGATTGTATAACCTATCCACTACCTTCTGTTTCTGCGTTCACTTCATTTACTCGGATCCTCATTATTCTATCTGTTCCAGTGACTTCCAGTTTATCTGTCTTCTACATTACTGATAGAATGAAGTTTCAAAACACAAATCTCATTTTGGTATTATCCTGTTTAAAACCCTTCAATAATTCTTAATCACAGATAGAATTAAAATTTTTTCTAGCTACAATAACCGTTCCTGTACCCTCTTTGGGAGGGGGAAAAAAACCATGCATGACAGTGTAGTAGGGTGCAGAGCTGCGCTGGCTGAGGTGGGCCAACTTCCTTCCCTCACATAGAGCCCCACAGCCTTTCCCTGAACTCCTGCGGTAGAGGCAGAAGGAAACACCTGTCAGGCGCTGGTATGGCCCTCAGGAGTGTCAGCCAGGCTGGAGACATACACCTAAAAGGTGCAGAAGCTGAAGGCAGGGACCTGCACGCCCAGGAGAATGGAGAGAGAGAAGGGCCCAGAGACACGGCCCAGGACTGATACCATGCCCACATGGCGGGTAGCATCCTATAAAGCAGTGCTTCTATTTTACCTTTCAAACTCCAAGAATATGCCTTACTGGGAGAATTTATGCTCGGATTGCACTGGATGAGTTTACCCACTCTTTTTTGTTTTCATACCTCATACTTGAGAACAAAGTGAAGCCAATATCAAAAACTAACAGTAGCTTCTAGTTGCTTGAACTGTGTTTGTCTTTACATTTGTATTTTGGTTTTCCAGGTGTGTGTGTGTATGTGTGTGTGTGTGTGTTTGGTTTGTTTGTTTACTGCTGTACTGGGGATTGACCCTCATATTGGGCTCTCTCCCCGCATGGTCTTGCTAAAGTTACCTAAGCTAGCCTCAAATTTACGATAATCTTGCCTCAGCCTCCCAAGTAGGTTGGATTGCAGGCAGTGTCATCTTGCTTAGCTACAATTTTATTCTGATAACTTCTTTTTTAAAGAAGTGATAAATTTTCTTTGATAACCCTGTGATTAGAGTCAATCTCCCCTGCCTGCTTGTTTTTTCAAGGCTTTTTGTTTTATTTTAAATAAAAATTAACAATAAAACAGAATAAAGTCAATCAAAAGAAAACAGTGAAGGTAATACAGAACTTCAAAATAGGAAAATAATGGCTACCATAATATATCTTGTTGTCCATACCATCATGCATAGTAAAATTAATTAAAACAAAACAGAATAAAATCAATGAAAACAACATTAAATAAAACAAAACACAAGTGTAATCCTAGCACTCAGGAGACTGAGGCAGGAGGATTGCCATGAGTTGCAGGCCAGCCTGAGCTACGAAGTGAGTTCAAGACCAGCCTACACACAGTGAAACCTTGCCTCAAAAAAGATCAATCAATCAATAAAAGAGTAAATTGGAACAAACAAAACAGTGAGAACAATACTGGATTTCAAAAACAAGACAGAAATAATCCATATTTGCTGTATCGCATACTGTTATCCTCCTAGTAGCTGTCTAGACCACCAGCGTTAGGCCTGCAAAGTCAATCAAACAATACAAACATTAGGTGGTTTATGTACCTCAATTGCTTAGCTTTGCAATTCACAGCCTTTGCGCCAGTTGATTCATGGGAAGGAAAAACTGACTTCTCTCTTCCTAGGCACAGCGTGGATTGCAAGGCTTACAGGAAGGATGAATTGGCTTCTTGTTGTGCTCCTCCCAGACCCACCAGGGCCAACCAGGGCCTTTTATTTTAGGCATCCTGAATTAACCAGTATTAGTTAATTGTGTCTCCATTTCTTTTCCAGGCAGTTTTCAGTTAAGTAGGCTTAAGAATAGGCTTTCAAATAGAAATGTAATAACTGATTTGTTAATTATTTAAACTTTTTGGTCTTGATAACAACCTTTATATATTTTTAAATTTTTTATTTTATTGGTACATTTTAGATAATACATAAGCCAGATATAGTGGCACATTGCCTATAATCCCAACACTTGGGAGGCTGAAGCAGGAGGATTACTGCAAATTCAATACAAGCCTTGGCTACAGAATGAATTTAAGGCCAGCCTGAACTACATGAGACTCTATTTAAAAAAAAAAAAATAAATATATATAACAATAACTTCCATCATGGGGAGTCTGGACTTTTACATGATATATCTTTCTCCTTTTCCCCCATTCTGCTCCCTCCCTTCAATCCTTCTTCCCTTCTATTTACAAAAGCTTGGTTTCCGTTTTTTTTCTTTCTTATATACTTTTTTCTTATCCCTCTTTGCTTTCTCACTCTCCCCTTCCTTGTTCTCCTTCTCATTTGAACATTTTCTTTCCGTTTTCCAATATCCATTGTACATTTTAATCCTTCCTTACCTTATTGGTTCTCACACCAGAGAAACCATGCAACCTGTGTGTCTGGTATTTCAGTTAAGAGCATGATCTCAAGGTGCATGCATTTATCAAGAAATGTCTCAAGCTTATACTTCTTTATGGCAGAGTAGTACTCCACTGTATTAAAAAAAAAAGTCTTCCTTATCCTTTCATCTTGTTTCCAAGATTTGGCTATTACAAACTATGCCAAGAATTCAAAAAAAAGTAGATCTTTAAATTTAAAGACTCATCCAAAAATGGGCATCTGAAGTGAATACACACTTCTCAGATGAAAAAGTAGAAACACCAAATAAATATATGAAAAAATGTTCAACATCACTGGTCATTCAAGAGATGCAGATTAAAACAACACCGAGATTCCATCTCACTTCAGAAAGAATGGCTGTCATCGAGAAATCAACCAGTACCACATGCTGGTGAGGCTGTGAAGAAAAAGAAACTCTTCTGCACTGTTGGTGGGAGTGTAGACTGGTGCGATCACTTTGGAGATGCCTCAGAACACTAGGTCTAGCTCTTCTATTCCATCCAACTATTCCCCTTCTTGGTAACTTCCTGAAGGCAGTTATACATCTAGCTTCTGTTTGTTCCTTGAAAAGAATGTTTTGTGCTAATATTGTTTATACAAGGCATCATGCCAATGACCTGTACTCTGAATAACTACTACAAGTCACCAATACGCAATATATCAAGTGTTGTAACTGCCTACTACCCTATTTCAAAACTCATTTTCACTTTTTCTCTTTAAAATAAATTTTTAAAAAAGAATTAAAGCATCATAGCAAAGCAATATATATTCTTTACTTTGGTTTAAGAATCCAGTCTTTTTGTTGTTTTACCGAGACTTAAGAAGCTGTCTGGATGTACTTTACTTTCTTGTTATAGAATATAGCCTTCTTAATGAGGGGAGAAATGTTAATGGCAACAAATTAATGAATTTTTTTGTACCAGGGATCAAACTCTTGACCTCATGCTTGCCAGGCAGGTGCTTGTGTCACTGAGCTAAGTCTCCAGCCCCTTGAATAATTTTAACAAGTAAAGGAGTTATCAGTTTGAGACAAGAGATGAATAAGTTGTACATTGCTGCAGATATTTCCTTGTCGACAGTAGCATTACGTGATAAAGGAGAGAAAGAGAAAAGGTAGAAAAAGAAAGAGTTCCAAGTAGGCCAGACTATTCAACTCTATTTGCTTTTATCTCTTATTTCCAGTGAGACTGAGTGATACTTGTAGTCTCTCTGACTCTGACCACCTCCGCATCCCGCCTTCTGTCTACCTAAACCTTGCCTCTGTTACCCTTCTAGGTTTTTCTGCTTCTGCATTATAGCCTGCCGCCGTCACATCTGGAGCCAGCCTGTTTCTGGCCATCAGTCTTTGCCATCAGGCAGTGCAGACAGACACAGCCTTCCCTGGCACTGCGGCCCAGGCTTCTCCGCTGCCACCTCCTAGGGATCCAGCACCACCCTACCCAGTACACTTCCAACTGGACTTTCAACACACAGCACCGTGAGGAGCTGAAAATATGTGCTAGATGTCCAGGCTTCAAACTGCTTCTGATTCTCTTCTAATCCTTTAAATATGGTGCATTAAAATTAAGAGTAGCAAAGTGATTTAGGAGAATAATTTTATCCTAACCTATTTCAGTGGCACTCAACATGCTTAAGAAAATTGACTGTCAGATTTGATCAGTGTGGTTAAAGTGAACAGTTGATTTCTTTGAGTATCTCGAGTAAAATTCTCACTCAGCAGGAGCAGTTAATGACAGGAAAATCAAGGAACCAAGACGAGCAGTGAACCTCAGTGCACTGCTGACCTCCTATTCTGCCCCTCTCTTCCATTTTTCAGGTACAACTTGTCTGATTGCTCTCCTGTCGGATAAAGACCTCACTGTGGCCAACGTGGGTGACTCTCGAGGTGTCCTGTGTGATAAAGATGGAAACGCCATTCCCCTATCTCATGATCACAAGCCTTACCAGCTGAAAGAAAGGAAGAGGATAAAGCGGGCTGGTGAGTGTGTGACCATCTCCAGTGAACATCTGCCATCTTGTTGTGTAGATAAGACGCTTATCTGAGAAGCTCTTAGAGCAAAAATGTTCAGTTACCCAGTGATTAGTTGGTCGCTACGGAGGCTGTCACTGAGGTAGCTGTGACTTGGCTCTGTAACATCTCCTATCAGATAAGTAGTCACAGAATTTGGCCTTTAATGGCCAGACATTTTAAAGGTCAGAGGAGTTTAAAGGCTATTACAGTCTTTGAGCTCCTGCTTCCGGCCCGTTTTCACGACTTCCTTCCATGCGAACCTTATTTGATCCTCATTTGACACCTCTGTGCCTTCGCAAGTGCCCTTCCCACTGTTCAGGGGATGAGTCACTTGTCCCGACAGTTCAACTCCAGGGCGTCCTCTTGGGAGTTCCCTGTCTGGGTACGTGGTCCTTTCTGTCTTTCCCAGCAGCCTGTGCGGTCTCTCGGGCCACCTGTCACAGGGTGACATGTATTTGGCCCTCTTATCTGTCTTGCCCTCCCGACTGTGAGCTCTTTGAAGGCCAGAATTTGGTCTTGCCTATCTCCACACCACTGACTTGGTGACTGATATAGGTAAATATTTCGTAGCAAGTTCAGCAGGTCCTTATTTATTTAGCATTTAGCATGCCTCCTCCCCTAAAAAAGTGCTCATGAGGTTTTTTTTCTTGGTTTTTTGAAACAGGGCCTCACTATGTAGTTGAGGCTGCCTTAAACTCCCTGTGTAGCCCAGGCTAACCTTGAACTTACAGCGATGCCCCTGTCTCAGCCTCCTAAATGGTGGGGTTACAGGCTACAGGTGCTCCATCACACGGGGCACTCTCATGAAATCTGTGTTCTGCTCTTGGCATAGGAGTAGAGTAGACATTAACCAAAATAAAAAATGTAAAAGTGAGTATTTTATAAAGTGCTGTGTCGTGACATAAAGCAGCAAGGAGCGGGGCATGTCAGGAGTTGCAGGGTTTTTGTTTTTTTTGAGACAGGGTCTCACTGTGCAGTTCAGACTGGCCTTACATTGAGCTTACATTGTAGTCCAGGCTGGTCTTGAACTTGCAGTGATCCTCCTGCCTCAGCCTCCCAAATGCTGGGATTACAGGTGTGTTCTATCATGCCCGGCTAAGAGTTGCAGTTTTAAATTGGATGATCTATGTGAGCTTCATTAAGATGATGTGTGACCAGAGACTCCAAGAAGGAGTATCAGTTCGTTACTGTATTTTCATAATTGGATTGGGGAGATTCATTTATATGCATGGAAGAGAAGAATCCCTTCACCCCTGAGACTGATGATCTCATGATTTGCCCAGCAACAGACCAGCTGCCCAAGGAAGTGAGCACCCTGCCCGTGCGCACTCCTTTCTGACCAGCACGGGCCCCTGGGTCTGCATTGATCTGAAGATGGCTCGCAAGCTCTGCAGGTCAGCTTCCTACCAGTGAGCAAATTAAGTGAACATAATGAACTCTTGACTTTTCACAGGAGGGACCTGTACTATTGAGTCAGAAAGTATTGGATTTTATTACAGCCCCTTGTTGCAGTAGCTGTTTAAGATGCAGTATAATTTTGATTGAAAGCTCTTGTCAGGTTTTCTGTTGACAAGATGGACCAAATAGTTATTTCACAGCATCTCTGGCTTTGATAAGCTCTAGTCAGTATGAGTGAAATACTGTGGCTTCTTCTTTATGAAGGCACTGTGTCCTCACAGGGATCTGCTGTGAGCTGAAGCACAGGCAAGAACGTGTCCATGACACACCTGGAAATGTCATTAGCACAGTGGCAAACTCTTCCTAAAGATCACTGCCATTCTATCCTGTCCCCTTTTCTCTGTCACACCCGCTCCCCTTTGCCCCACCATATGGTAATTCTTTGTAGAAGCAAATTGGAAAACCATCTTCAAGGAAGTTCACCTAATGTGCTTTGTTCTTTTATGTAATTTGGACACGTGTGCATTTTATAGGAGAGCTTAAAGAACACTGGTTAGTTTTATTGTCTTTGTTTGTGTCTCTGACCCCAGCCTTTGTTTCAGGACATTTCTCTCACTCTCCTGCCTAGCATGACAGTAAGCCCCAACCAGTCTGGGCCAAATATTGTACAGATTGATCTTGTGCCTCTTTATGCTCCTTCCAGGAACAAGAGCATCAGTACTGACCATCATTCACTTGTGCTCCCTCTGTGCCAGGAGCCTGTGCTGATGCTTTATATACATTTTTTTCTTTAACTATCTTATGTGGATGATAATATTATCCTCATGTTATAACCAGAAATCTGGAACCTTGGAGAAGCTTGTGTTTAAGGATCCACAGCTAGTGAGAGGTGAGCCCAAAATCAAACCCAGAACTGTGTGATTCCAGAGCACAGACTCCTGCCCACTGGGCCACACTTGCTAGCTAGAATGTTTTGTGTCCCTGCCCACAGAAGTCCTACCCGTTATCCCAAGCCCAGCATTAACATTTGTTCTTTCCTGATCATCAGCACCTATAAATCATCCACCTATCCCCCCCTCTGTCATAGCATTTAGCAAATACTAGTCTCCACTGATAGAATAGAACCTTGTGCTTGTAACACTTAATATACGCAGCTTATCTCTCCTGTCTCCTTCTTTAGAGAAAGGTTGTATTTTGAATAACTTTATAACCAGCAAATTGCCTCCTGTAGAATAGGTATTTACTATCAGACAAATACGTGAATGAACAAGATTCCAACTCCTTTTTAAAAAATGGATAACAATATTGAGGGCATATTATCTTCATGCATTTTGTTATATGATTTATATAAAATAATGACTCTATCTCTCATGACAACATAGTGGAGTAGCCATTATTCCCGTGTTGCAGCTAGGGAGCCCAAGGCCCAGAGAAAAAAATGTCTCATTCAAAGTTACATAGGGCCAGAACTGATCAGAAATGAAATGCAGGCAGTCTGACCGGAGCCTTTTTTTTAGGATGGGAGGAGCTGTTTTTATCCTGTTTTGTTTGTTTTGTTTGAGGTAGGATCTCACTATGTAGTACAGGCTGGGCTTGAACTCACTTTTTCAGCACATGATGGTCTTGAACTCACAGGGATCCTCCTGCCCCGGCCACCTGAGTGCTGGGAACAGAGGCCAGCGCCACCATGCCTAGTATAGTGGTATAATCTGAGCTTCTAATGAGCATACTAAAATGTGTTTTCCTTTAATCTCAATTCTATTTGGGGATCTATTAAATCTATATCATCACATCAAGGGTAACCTGAGGCTACATAATTCCAGGGATGTCTTTGTTGTCTTTCAGCATTACTCAGCACACCCTCTAATGCTTACCCTAGTGCTTGCTCTCTGCTGTCAGTTGCTGAGCTTCCATGGCGTTGCTAACACCGATGCTGTCTCCTTTCTCCTACCCTTCATTTTCTCACCGACATATTTTTGAAGGCTCCAGTGGTGCCAGGGATGAAGGCGTGAGGATTGTTGGTCAGGTACCAAATCCCAAGAATGCTGCCTGGTCCTGGCAGTGACGGTGTGAAGGGGTGCCCATAGCCGGGCATACACCGAATAGCTCAGCCTTTGTAGACACTTGGATTGTACAGGTGTGGACACAGCAGCTGCGCATGCTAATGGGCTCATTTTGCCTTTCCAGGTGGTTTCATCAGTTTCAATGGCTCGTGGAGGGTCCAGGGGATCCTGGCCATGTCTCGATCCTTGGGGGATTACCCACTGAAAAATCTCAACGTGGTCATCCCAGATCCAGATATCCTGACCTTTGACCTGGACAAGCTGCAGCCCGAGTTCATGATTTTGGCTTCGGATGGTCTGTGGGATGCTTTCAGCAATGAAGAAGCGGTTCGGTTTATCAAGGAGCGGTTGGATGAACCTCACTTTGGGGCCAAGAGCATAGTTTTACAGTCATTTTACAGAGGTTGCCCTGATAACATTACAGTCATGGTGGTAAAGTTCAGGAATAGCAGCAAAATGGAAGAGCAGTGAACCCTCAGGGTCTCGGCTGCCTCAGACTAAGACTTTGACACACTGGTCTCTTTTAAATGTAGTGAAAGGTTGGGAATTGTATTTAGGATCATCCATCCCAGACAGAGTCCCCCTCCCCGGTGGTTTTAGGTGTGTATTCAGTGATCAACAGAGGATGCCCCCGGGCCAATGTAGTTGACAGACTGGAAAAAGTTTCCTTTGTGTTTTCCAGCTCTTTTGCCCATGTCCAAAATACATAAATAGTTACAGATCCACACACGAGGTGAACAGCAGAGGTGCCGTGGATTCTCCTTTTTTTAAGATTTTTTTTTTAAGACCCCTTACAGGTTCTCCAGGCATCACCCTCAGTGCATGTCCTCCCTGCCGTGGTGGGCAGGGCAGGGCTGTCTTGCAGGACACAGGCCACCACCGTGTCATTTGTGAGTCGGGGGCTGATGCAGCAGCACGCGCTGCTGAGGGCAGGGAGGTGCTAGGATGCTCTGTCCTGCCCACCCCGCTCTACTCAGCAGCCGCCAGAAGCAGGCGAGGGATGCTTTATTACTTGTGGGCCGCTCCTGGAGACTGAGGGAGCAGGGAGATGGAAGACCAGTGACAGCTGTCTGCACAGCAGAAATCACCCTCCCCTCACCCTTTATTATTGCTAAGTAGCCTGTGTAACACCGGTGTGTGTTACTCCCTGTCAGGCATGACTCCACTTGTGTGTACTCTTGACTGTATGAATAGGCAGCTATTAACTTCACCACCAGACATGACTTTCCATCTTGTCTTACCAAGAAACCATACTGGGGAAACGCAAACAACAGATTACAGCACCATATTCCCTTCCATCCTGAAGGGCAGAATGGAGGAAAACAGGAGCAAATGTTTCAAGGCACCCCTTGGAAGGGCGAGGAGTGAGCTGGTGAGATCTCTACCCTGCAGTGCGTGCCAGCCTCGTCTTCCAGCGGCTTCCCTCTCCCTAGCTTGTAGCTGTCAAATGTCTTTGAAGCAGTTTTGGAAGAAGCAGCCCCTTAGAACTGCATGCGTGTTTCTTGAAACCAGCATGGTTCCCAGCTGCGGCAGTTGAGATGTGATGTTGAATTGCAGGAACATGTTTCTCGCCAGTGGAAAGGCAGTGGCCTCTCGTATTTGGTGAGGAATCTCTGCCCGTAACTGCGCATCTGCCCTGCATAGCCCGGGTGGGGAGTTTGTGCACTGTGGCAGCAAAGGTGGTTGGGAATCCAAGCAAGAAAAGAGCCCATACTGCTAAGTGGGCAGAGCTGAGCTAGAGCCTGACTTTCTCACCGCCCTTCCTTTCCTACCACCAAGTGACACCTTGTTTATAGCCTCAGTAGTTACATTAATTCATAAAAAATGCTGGGTGGCAGCTCACACATCCAGACAAAATTCTTGCTCTCTCTCTCCTCCTGGGATGGTTTTGTGCTGACGGGGCATTTGTTCTCAGACCCGCTGGAAGGCCTGGCCTCTAGCTACCACCTGCCATAGTCCCATGTCCTCTCTCTTCTTCAGCTGCAGGGGTTTCCCACAGCAGTTTCCAGGAGAGGACTCAGGAGACTGATGGGTTTTACTTTGTGCTGCTGAGGACTACAATCCGTCTTGATTCTTCCAAGAATTTGCCTCTCTTTGATGGCATGAGAATTAATAACGGTTCCCCAAGAGACTTGCTTACTTTGTATACTGTGTTTTCCAGAATTAGAATTAGAACCTCGGTTATTGATTTTGTAGCCACAGAATGTTTTAGTACCAACTGCTACCCATTTTAGATTTAAGCACGTGCCTCTTGAGAGACAATGAACCTCTGGATGCATGTGTCCCACATGAGGGTGAGAAGGGGACTGTGGGGCACAGATGTCGCAGTGGTCAGTAATGGTGGCTGCATCAGCCCAGGGGGCTGAGTTTGCTGGAGACTTAGGACATTCTGATTCTGGAGAGTCACCTTCTAATTGAATTTCCAGCATTTTACTGTCCATAGTCAGCTTTCCTTTTTTATTTTTACTTAACACAAAAAAGCATAATAAAGGAAAGACATGTTTTAATTCCAAAATTATTTTTAATGTCTAAAATAAAAAGAGTAATATTTTGGTGAAGTTGAAAAAAAGAAAAGCTACCAAATTAGGAAATTAGTTTTTATTTGCCAAGCAAAGTTTCCAAACATAGTGCTGAGTACACAAGTTACATAACTTCCAGCTGAGGTCCACGGGCATCTTGTAAGTTTTACTTTATAGAATTAATTTATTTGTAATTTTAACCAAATAGAGTGTATATCTTATACTTTTTTCTCTAATATGACTTGTAGACTTTATAAAGATAGACGTTCTAGGTAAATATTAGCAGCTTGATGACTAGTTAGGTATCTGCTCCCTTCCCGGTATTGTGGGGCAATCTTTCCCTGGCTCTTTCCAGCTGTTGGATTCTTCTTACCCAGTCCTGGGCTGCCCTGTGGGACACTGGCTACTCCCCTTCCCTAGAGGCTCATCAAGGTTCAATGTAGGTGATAGAGAATTTGATTTCAGGTTTGCACGTGAAGCTTTTCTAACAGCTTTGGAATTGTCACCTGAGGCTGCCCAGACTCCCTAGCTAGTCTGAGTTCGAATTGCCAATAGTCTCCCTGGTGCCAAACTTTGGGGTGGGAAGCTGGGAGTAAGTACACACTTACAATCCCCGCAAGACGCCAAGCCCAGATCTTCATCACATACTGCTCTGCTGCTGCTCCACTGGCAAAGTGTACTTTTGAAATAGGATGGGAGGGAGGGTTCTAAGGGAAATTTTTCTCAATTCCCACTGTATTTGCAGTCCTTTAATAATAGTAATAAACTACTTATATAGAAAGTTCCAAAGCTAGATCCCAAGACCTGCATTTTTTTAAATGTGGCCCACTTGCCTGAGACAATTAACTGAGTCTTCAATCTAATATATGTCTTTTTGTAAGTACTCATTGTTAGAAACCAGTGGCTGCATTGTTTCTTGCTGTAGACGGAAGGTACTGGCCTCTTAAATGTTGTATGTGTCGAGAGTATTGCACATTTATTGATACAGTAGAGGAGCATATACAAGCTGCATAATTTAAAATGCCTTATTCCATACTAGTGTAATGATTTTGTGCAAATGACAAACAGGATTGGATGGCAGTGACGGCCTCATCATTTCAATCCTATCCGAAGTGACTCTAGGGACAAATAATACTATTGGACTGGATCACTAGCATATCTGGAAATGCATGCAGAATTTACACAGGGAGTGATGACTTTTTCCTTTGCTAGGCATACTCTTCTGTTTGATGTGTTTTGCTCCTTGAATTTTTGGCCGATTTAACTCTCTTGCAACTATGTCAATAGGAGATTTAAATTCAAAAAAGGCAACATTTTATTGTACATTTGAATGTGTAAGAATACATAATTTATATAAAACTTATTTTTAGTAATTTCAGAAAGTTTTTTCCTCCTTTTGGCCTATCATTAGACTGACTGTCCCTTCATAGTCTATCCCAACTTGTCTTAGCATGTCACATCAGCATTCCTAATCCAGCTCTGAAAAAATGACAGGACAGATACTATGCTGGGGCTTAAATGCATCTAAATGTTTTAGCTAATCACCTGTACACTGCAGGAGTGGTAGAGTCCTTGTTCCCCAAGTGTGTTCCACAGAACACAAGTTCCAAAGATTCTCTTCCAAAGCGGGGGCGGGTCTCAAGGTCAGAGATTCTTAGAAAGTGTATATAAGGTCCTTGAAATCTGTATTCAAACAGCCTTCAGAGGAGAGGAAAACACACCACATAATGTGTTAGCTCAGTGTTTTCCAGATTAATTTGACCACAGAAATGTTTTGAGTAGCACCTACTAACAGTCCAAGGAACTCCTGTTTCCATAGAGCTCACTTTGGGAACTTCTGGTATATTGAAATATTTTTTTTTCACATCCACCATGACTTAGTAGTAGCATAACAGTTTGCAACTTAGAAGCACTAGGTTTTACTTAAGCAGTTGACTTGTAATAGAAGCAGTGTTTAAAAAAATAGAATTTAATATGACCACCAGTGGCCTCACATTGACAGCAAAAATCCAACAATTGTACTTGAAACTCTATATAAATATTATCTCCCTTCACTCATGTGAATAAGAAGTACTTTTCCATAGCCAGGCAGTTCTCACATTCATTACAAAACCTTTCAGTTTCTTTTTAACTTCTATCTCTGCTTCCCAAATTCTATCTAAATATTTTTGTTTCATCACTGTGTGATAATAAAAAAGAGGAAATAATAAAACAGGAAAATGCATAGTTTTCACTCACTTCTGAAATTTTAACCAGATTCTTTAATCTGTGGTATAATAATGGGAATGCAAATTATTAACACTTATTTACTCTTTCCTCTGTTTTCTCCGTATTCAGTGAAATGCTAGTCTTACCTTTCATATTTTGTGTATGTAGTTAAGTTTGGCAAGTTATTACTTGCCAAAAATGTAAGACTTGACTATGATAGTTTCCTAACAATCCCTGTCAAGCCTGAGCAATTTTTTTGGATGTTTATGATGGATAACTTCCAAATAACAGATAAAAAATTGTGGTAGAGTGAATTTAGAGTCAAGACATTAATTTAAAGTTACATTCATATGCCTAGCAATGTGCCTGCCTTCTGGACACAATCTAAAATACTAAAAACTAAAAATCAAGATCTCTTAGGCTAGGTGGCAGACTGCAAAGAGTGAGGGACACTTGGTACTATGAAACTTTCTTTAGATGTGTGTTTCTAAGTATGTTCTTAATATGTAAAATCTTTTTCCTGATTTGTAATACTACTTTGTCTAGCATTTGTTCTTCTTACCTCTGTTAAGCTGCAAACTGTTAAACTAGGGTTGATCGCGATCATTTTATGTGTGTAGTAGGACTGTACCATCATTTTAATAAACCCAAGTTGAGGACTTTGAGGATAACATGTAGTAACTGTTCATTTGGACAAATCACCACAGGCATTTTCGATGTTCAGAACTGTACCAAAAGGCTGGCATGAAGCAAGGAAATAGATTATGTTTACAGACAAAGTTCATTTATTCCAAAAGGCCCATAATCTGCATTATTTAACCACAGAATAAATCCCATCTGACATTCGCCAAATCCAAATTAATTTTGAAAACCTCTAAAGACCAGCATCCCCTAGCTGTTAGCACAAGCAGGTTCCTCTCCAGGCTCTGGTGGCAGATGGAATGGAGGGGATGGTGAGGGAGTTGAGGGAGAAGAAAATCTGTCTGGTTCACTCACTGCCTGTGCTAGAGAGGGTCTGTATCAGCCACATACGTTCTCTCATCATGTCATAAAGTAGTTCACAAGTTAATGTGAGTTCATGCATTATTTCAAAATTTTTTTAGTTTCTTGATAATTCAAAATGTGATTATACAGAAGCAAAGATAAAGAAATTGGGGTGGAGGTAGATAGATGTAGGATAGCCAGATATGAAAGATAAAAGTACGTTATCAGAAATGTGGATTACTAGACCTTTACTTATACATAGGCTCTATTTAATAGTGAAAAAAAATTTTTGTACTGGGGATCAAACTCAGGACCTTGCACTTGCTAGGCAGGTGTTTGTGTCACTGAGCTAAACCCCTAGCCCTTAATAGTGTATTTTAAAACCTACACATAGATCAATAAAAGGCAAGTGTTACTACCCAGAAAATTAGCCAGGACTCCAAAAAGGAAGTTTGTATTTTTTTTTTAACAGTGAAAGGCACTAAAATTACTGTCATACTCCACTTTTTTCCCCAGAGTCTCATTTTTCGCTTTCCTAAATATCTTTTCTGTTCTATGCTTCATTCACTTTCAAGAGACGGTTTTACCCATTACCTTAAGAAGTTTTGCATTTTCAAGGAGGAAATGCCGTATTTTTAAAAGTTTAAAAGGTACTAAAATAAACTAAGTGATTATTCTTTCATTTTAGAGTGGCCAAATAAAACTGAAGTCTTACTAGCTTAGTCACAGGCACAATAAGAGAGTTTTAACATACCAGTAATTTTTCAGATCCCAGTGTAGAAGCACTGAGTACCCAAGACAGCTTTATGAAAATGAACTGCAGTGTAAATTTAATATTGTTTCCTGTAATGCAACAAAAATGTGTTGTTCATTTTTTTAAAAATGAATCCTGTAGAAGTGATTATTAGCCATCTCCAACTCAAGAGAATGTTGCCTGTTATATAAATTTTAAATTCTCATCATCTTAATGTATATAATGAAAGATGGTGACTGCTTAATGTAATTATGAAAAGGTAAATCCTGCTATGTGGGGAAAATATAGCATCTTGGGACATTATTTAGGCTCCAAGGCTACAATTAAACAGGCTTTACATATTATCATTTTGATTTTCCTTTTATCCCAGACATGCATTCAGAAAGTGGAATAATAAATATCAACAGTGGAAATGCTTGTATTCTGAAAAGCAGTGTTTGCCTTTAATTTTCTCAAATATGTCTTTGCATTGAAACATTAACATCTGCCACACTGTCTTTCAGCTTAGTGTTCAATTACTGAAGTAAATGATTTTGATTTATTGCACTTACACAGGTTTTAGAGTTGAAATGTATTTTAATAACAATTCAACATTCCCGAGTCCCCAAGAAAAAGAAATCAAAAACCAAAGGAAAAATGTTAGTCTACAAGAATGATTATTCTGAAAAATCTAGAAAATAATCATTAAACAATTAATTCCAAAAGTTACCTTGAGGGTAGTATTCCTCCAGCAGAGAGACAATTTAACCTGTACATGGTAAGGTCCAATAATCCAGATTTCTGATGACCTGTTTTATAGTTTTGACATCTGGGTATCCCACAACAACCCCCAAACCAGTTCCTTGACCATGGTTAGTTCTACCTTTATTTTTGCACAAATACATTTTAAATTACAAATTGTCTAATTAAAGTCCTTTGAGATTTTTTAAAGGTTTGTCCCCTAGAGACTATAGTGTAACAGTCTCATGCCACAAAAGAGAACATAGAATATTTAAAATCAGTATTTCTGAGTATATAAACTAGAAAATTTCTTATATTGAAAATTAACATATTTCAAAAATACAATTATTAACCTCTAACAAAAATAGGGGACTTCCAGATTTAAAAAAAAAAAAAAACATTAATTTGGTGCCCATTGCTACTTTACACATTGCAAGATCTAGGTAAGGAATTTTAAGTTTTGTACTTTGAAGAAATACGACAACAATCCTCAGTACAACAAAAAAATGGAACAAGAGAACAGCGACATATTTTCTGTATGGAAAAAAATAAACATAAGTATCATACTTTTTAAGAACACAGAACCCTTTTTTCTAAATTCTATGCCTGTCTCTCCATCTTTCCAAAAGCCTTACAGGACTAGTGACGTAGAATAATTCTTTCCCTACACATAATAGAGTGTGAATGGTAAGAAACTGAGAATATCTCATTAAGTCAGAAAAGGAGAAAAGTATGGGGAGAGAAAGGGAAAGAAGGAAAAAATATACCCTTATTAAGAAGTATTTTTTATGAGGGTACCATAGCTCAAAAATTCTAATCTTTTACACTACTGAATTTGGAAACTGATTTTTTTTTGGAGTGAGCTTTTATTTATACCCATTTCAACACCATTAAATTATTCCTTCATCATTTTCTTCCTACTTCAGAAATCACAAAGGATTGTTTACAAAATACCAGGATCCATAATCTATTAGCAATGCTTTCTTTTAGGAATCTCCAAATTGTATTATTAAATCACAGGTCTAAATTACAGGTTAAAAACACTGCTCAAATCAATCAGATTTTCTTGTAAGTTGGTCTCAAAACCACCCATGATAAGTTCAACAAAACCTTTACAAAACTCCCTCATGCTTGGTACTCTTCAAAGGTTTTAGTTCAGTATTCTATGTGTGTCTCTAAGAGACAGTGAAGCGAAGTGACAGGACAGCCGAGCTCGGAGTGTGTGGCAGTGCATGATCCCTCAAGATGCATGGTGTGTCACTCCAGGCCCTCCCATGTGTGCTGGGGTACAGGTAGCATTGTAGAGGCTAATGTGTCTATGCAGTCACAAAATCTATGTTGTCTACAAAGTTAACAGCTAAAAATTCACCCTTGGTGACAAGATTAAAAGAAAAATAAAATACATTAAAATGACTAAATTTGTGAGCCCGCACTTATTCTTTTTCTTTGAGTAAACTCATTTTTCTTTCTTGTGTCTGTTCTGGAACTGTATGCTTTTGAGCTGGAAAACACAGAAGGGAGAAAATCCGTTCATGGTCAGAAGACAAGACCAGAACATAACAGAAGCAAGAGAGAGGGGATACCATCACATTGCTGCTCTCCTTTGGGACAAGAAAGCCCAACTCTGATTCAAAACAAGGGCATTTTTGAGAGGCATACAAATGTATAATAAAAAATATTTACTGTGAACACAGCATAATTTTACCCAGCTTTGAAATCAATATTAAGTAATGAATTATATTAACTATATATTTATGCAGACTCTTGTGTGCATGACTCAAAAATTAGTATCCACCCCCAAAGATTTTCACAAAGTGTAGGAGGAGACACTGTAGAATTTAAAGACAATAAAATATAGTTATGTATATACATACGCACATATGTAATCCCATTTTTTTTTAAGTATTCCAAAGAAAATGCAGACAGCCTAGGATCTTAATTTTGGAAGGTCAGTCACCAGATTGCTGGACTTGGAGTTGGGTATAACAAAGCAGAAAAGGAGCTAGGTAGGAGAGAAAGAGTATAATGGGACAAGTCCTTACCTTCTACTCAACTTTGATCTGTACCTAAAACTGCTCTAAAAAATAAAATTGTTTTTAAAAGCTAATACCAAAAGTTCCCAGATTTATAGCTCCTTACTCTTCCTGGCGATGTCCAGATGTAGTCTGGCTTGCTTAGCACAAATTCTAAATTGTTTGAGGTGAACGGTGACAGGTGGTGTCAGCTGGACACACTGTCTTTGTGGCTCTGGGGTCCTGGGAGAGGGGAACATCTCCAAGGCCTGGGCCACCTCGCACCAACAGGGCATCTTGTACTAACTGTGTATGGAGTCAGTGGGTGAGAAAGCTCTCAGAAGGGCACACTTCTAGTAAGAAGGTAGTTTGGCAGACAAAAGGATAAATACCCACTCTACCTGCTTTCAGATTTAAGGCTAAAAATATGCAAATCCATTTCTACATGAAAATGCCCTTTTAAAAGGTGCTTTGTTTATAGGAAGATTCACTAAAGGAAAGAAAAACAACGTGCAAAAAGTCTGAAAGGCTCATATATTTTTAAAAAGTCCAATAATGAAAGTACAATTTCCCTCCTCATCCTACTATTCATGGGGTCATACAAGAATTATCATTTAACCTTTGAACACCAAATTAACCTTTAAATAATTAAAGGTTTTCAGCTATTCCTGTCTTGAAACTGTGAGAACTACACTCTGAGCAAATTAATTTCAGCAATCTTAAGGAAGGGAAGAGCTGTGAGGCCTATGTCCAGACCATCCCTCATTCTGTCATGGCCGTTCACCTTTCCAGCTCCTCAGCTGTGAAACCGCAGAGTGTACCACAAAACATTCTGCAGTGCTCAGTGAGGGACCCCAGCCTCCCTTCCCCTACAAAAGAATGAGAAGACCTGGGTCCCTACTGCGGTCCCTTCATTAGCTGGGGATGCATAGGCTCTTCAGAGCTACAATCGATGTCTGGTACTCCTTTCTCTTTGCTCCAGTGAACTTTTCTGCAGACATTGGCTGCCTCAGTGGAAGGTGATCGTTTGTAGAGGAGCAAGCGAGGGGAAGCAGTTGTGACTTCCTCTGTTCCCAATGCATCTGTCAGTTGCTCACTGCCTGGACTTCATCTCACATTCTCACATCTCCAAGTCATGAATCAATGGCTTTCTCTCCACCACAAAGGAAACTGGGTTTGGCTTCTTCCTTCCCATCTATTCACTTGCCACTGGGCACAGAGCCCTTCATAGAAAACCTGTTCCTTAGGTCACCACACAAACGCCGTCCTCCACTAAATAACAGCTGTGTGGGCTCACCACAGTGCTTACTTTGCATCTGCAAGAAGTGTGTGGTCTCCAAATTTGGTTTCTCAACATGGGAGGACAAGGCTTACTGTCTCAGTCCTTGTCTGACCCTTTAGGCCATTCCAGAGTGGCACTGCAGATATTGACATTCAGTCAAAGAAAAAAGGTGTTTATCCTTTGTCTTTTCTGTTAGGGAGAAACACCCATAAGGGAGAAGCTCCTCCAGCAGCCATCCCTCAGGCCTCACTGCTGGGCTGGTTCACACACAAAGCAGGAGGAACATGGCTGACGAGTGTGGCGGGAGACAGCGCCCGCCTGTGCAGACCAGGAGGGAGGGTGCGCTGGGCCAGATCAGTGGCAAGCACCGCGTCCAACCTGTCCTGCCCCAGCCTTTCCCATGACATTTTCTCAGTCTCTCCATTGTCTCTCTTCTAGACTGAAAAAGTGTTCAGAAGGCAAGTCCTGTTAACTTTCCGGTATGTGTTCACCCTGCCTTCTCCCATGCAACTTCTGCATATGGACCGAGAAGAGAGGAGACAGGGATTTAAAACAGTCCCTGCAGTGTCTGCAACCTTTTAGAAGAATGACAATGTCCGCCTTCATAGACACAATCTGTTGTTTACATGGGAAATACCTTGAATGGGCTCCTTGGGGGCAATGAAGAGCCACTCACCTCCACCGCAACTGGGAAGCGAGAGAAAGGGAGCTACATTGAAAGACATTTTGGAAATTACTCATTGGCAACGTCCAGCAGGGGCAAGCACTTGTGCAGAAAGGACCAGATGTGAGAATAGGAATGTGGTTTAACTATGAAGTAGCCTGTAGAAGATTCATGTATCTGAGGATTTGATCCTCAGTGCAGTGATAATTCAGAAGTGAGGCCTAGAGTGGTGACTGGGTCATGAGAACGCTAACCTGATCAATAGAGTCATCTGTGGATGAATCTACAGCTGAGGTTTTCCATTAGGAGGTGGGGCCCACTTGGGGAGAGCAGGTCACTAGGGGCATCTTGTCCTGGGATGCCATGAGGTGAGCGGCTGTCCTCCACCTGACCTCCTGCCACCGTGTTCCTCCTGCCTTGTCACAGGTTTAAAAGCAATGCAGCTGGCTGACCATTAACTGACACCTCAGAAACTGTGCGCCAAATAAGTTTTTCCTCCTTTAAATGAGTTTCTTAGGTTAGCAGTCACAATGAAGAAAATATGACTAACAAAGAAGACTTTGCCTGGGACTTGAGGAAAGCCACAGCCAATGGAAATTTACTTGGTGAGAAATATTTTATCTATGCCTAACAAACCATCCCAAACCTATATAGAACAAAGCAAAACTTAATGAATTTTTAAGGTTCTGTGAGTTCATGAGGAGCAGCTGGGAAGGCTTCAATTGAGGTCTTATGCAAAATTGGCTGGAGTTGTCTGCAGGCTCCAAAACATGCTATTCACCTCAATTGCCTGGGCAAGAGTGGTGGGGAACCACCTGCCAACATGTCCTCTCCAGGTAGCGGGCCTCAGCTCCACCTGGTAGTGTCTCAGGACAGAAATTTATACCCTTTTGGAGGAAAGTAAGCAAGCTTCTTTAGCCTAGGATCTGAGACACACATAGTAGTTCTTCTATCTCATGAAGCCAACTACAACAGTTTGCTCAGAGGCAGGGTAGGTAAAAACTACACAAAAGTGCACATATGAGTATGCTACTCAGGGGCTGCCCTTTGAGACAATTGCCATAAGAAATGACGGGAACATCTCTGGAATCAGCAATCTCAGGGATGGAATTTAGAAATCTTAACCTCTCTTTTCTGTTTTCAAACTACCTAAAATTCTAACATCGACGTAATGGTCAGTGAAGCTTTAGGAAGTAAAAGAAGTGGGTGGTATGAAACTGAAGCTGACGTTGTCTGAAGAAAACTGTTTTATCTTGCTGAACAGAGCACAGTGATCATGGAGAGATGCAAAGTTGCAGGTCAACAGCCAGAATTATGTTGGGCCATCTCAGCGGCTTTCATAGCCATTCACTTTTGGTCTTCTGATGTAATGGCCGCATGACTGTACCACTCCCGGAATGCATCATTAAGGTGAGCAGACCTCTAGCCTCTACAGACTTTAAAAATGCTAAGAATGCTATAACGCCTGGAACCCATAGAAAAGACTCCTCTCTTTGTTGAAGCCTGTGAACCCAATTCCCTGCCAATATATCTGGAAAATTTGTTTCCTGGTGACCTTCTTTCTTTTGGGGCTATTAAATTTCATGCACCTTTTTCTACCGCAGAACATGTCACTCAGGATAACTGAATCCATGTTTCTGGCCCATGTCACTCATACTTGGTTCATAATCTATTTTATTTCCTTTACATTATTTTATGTTGATAGTGGCAGCATCTACGAGAAGTGTATGAAGAGGCAAGAGCTAAGAGAAGTGCTTGGCAACCACGGAGAGGAGGCTGTCCATGCCGACTCTCCTGTCTACCCCGGACACTTCTCCACTCTGACATCTTTCCAGCATGGTTGGGCGACCTTCCTACAGTGTAGCATAGAGGTCTGCAATCTATGCTATTTGGATACTGATGAAAAGAAAGTATCAAGGATTTGGAAATATCTGGCCATATATAGCTCATTACACACAGGACTCTCAAAATCTTTTTATTTTAAATTTTTATTTTAACTTTAACTTTAATTTAATTTTTTAATTTTAATTTAATTTAATTAATTTTTAATTTAATTTTAAATTTTTATTTTAAATAAATTTAGGTTCATGACAAAAAAAAAAAACCCTACAACTTATAAACACCAGTACATGCCACCTATTGTGATGAACTCCTTGAAAGTCTGTTACCATATTAACTGGATACGGGATAATCAGGGAGCTGATGGAGAGTGTAAAGGGGTCCCAATGACAGTCATTCTTTGGATCACAAAAATACCGTGTCAGTTTAGTAAAAAGGATATTAAGTCTTAGTAGACTGAAGGATATAAAAACCCCAAAGAGGGACGAACAGGCTTATTCACTCTTCCCACTCCCCAGAACTGGCCCCTTTCTGTCCCTCTCCTCTCCATCCTGCAGTAACTGTCTCAAACAGGCTTCATGGAAAAGGGCAACCTCCCAGTTCACGCTCAGTACTTCTTTCTTTATGCATAGCTCAGCTTTGGCTGTGGTACATCAGGGAAATTGATGGGAACACAATAATACCAAGACTATTTAGGGCAAAGCAGAGGAAGAATTCAAGAGGGCAAAGAGGCAGACTTCTCAGAGAAAGGGCCAAAAACTCAAAGTACCAATCCACCTGAAGTCAGAAAAGCTCTGATCTATTTGAGCCAGTCTTAGAACCTGTTATTTTCCCATTGCTCTGACAAAATTTCAGAGATAGCCAACTTTTAAGAAAGTTTTATTTCAACTCACAGCTTCACAGGTTTCAGTCTATGGTTACCTGCACTATTGCTCTAGAGAACGCGGCCAGCCAGTACCCCATGGCAGAGGCACGTGGAGACACCTGCTCCCTTCACGGCAGTGAGGAAGCAAGGTTTGGGCACAGTTCTGACATCCTCTTCAAGGACACCCCCCCCCACAAGGTCCAACTTCCTTTCACAAGGCCCCAGCCCCTGGATACCTCCCAATATGCTAAAGGGTGGTGACCACAATTTTAGCACATGGGCCTTGGGTGGGGGGTAACTGAAGATTCAAACCATAACAGAAGCATGGGCCCCAAAGCCTCTTTCTTTTAACTATGAGGTATGGCTAATCCAATGTTTCCTTCCCCACTCTGTAAAAGACCAATACGTTTCAGCATGGTGCAATATGACCAGCAATTGCTTCATGTGAGAGGAATACAGTTCCTTACCCCACTGATGGTTTGCTTAGCATGGGATTTGTTTTAAGGTATTCGTCAATGTATTTCCAACACTCCCCTCTTCCTTTCCTGTATAAAAATAGTATGAGCCAGACAGGGTCTGCCCTTCAGCCCAGTTTTGGGATGAGAAAACACATGAAGCAGGGTCCCAGCAGCCAGAGGCATGTAACATGAGTTTAAAGAAAACACTGCTCAGGGCCAGGGATTTAGCTCAGCAGTGTAAGGGCTTGCCTGGCAAGTGTGAGGTCGTAAGTTCAATCCCTGGTACCAAAAAATAAATAAATAAAATAAAATACACAGACAGGTCTATTGCTGAACATGAGGAATGGGACCAATGGTTCCACAAGAAAACACTGCTACTTGAAATCTACTATTTAAAAGCCAAGAGACATGCAATAAAAAAAAGAACAACAGCAACAAAAAAGATGACCTACCTGTTTTTCCATAATCAGGTTAGAGATGTTTTAGGAAGGAATTTTCAGTTTGGAAGCAAATTTTAGTTTAGTTTATAAACTTTGGGTCTGGCTGTTCTGAGTCTTATACTAAAGAGAAAGTAACTTTTATTTAAAAAATTTTCTCTGAAAAATCTTTTGAATTGGCACCCCAAACATTAATACAATCTTCTGCAAAACTGATCAAACTTAATTGTGCCACAAAAATAGGCATCATCAGACTTAAAGTGACGTTTGTATGGCTAGGGGTTAGTCAGGGCACAGGTTTATTCCATACAGTATTTCATTTAATTGATTTTTATTGTAACTGGATCAGGTCTGAGCCCAAAGAAACAAACAGCCTTGGTACAGAGATCACACATTATGGTAGTTTTCTAAAAAATAATTTTATTGAAATTTAACTCTTGGTGACTTTTGTTGTTGTGTGTGTTTGTGTATGCGTTTGAGGCAAGCTCTCTCTTTGTAGGTCAGGGTGTCCTTGAACTCACTATGCAGCCCAGGTTGGTCTCAAACTCATAGCAATCATCCTGTCTCAGTGTCTGGAGAGCTGCAGCCTCATTGTGGAACTGGAGTTTTAATTGAAGTTTGTTTTTCCGAACAGAAGAACTATCAATATGACTACTACAAGAGCTGACCACATACTCTGAAGCTGATAACCCACAAAAAAGATTTCAACTTTTGCTTGTATATAACTAAGAAGAAAGGAATCAACCCTAATAGAAAACTGCATAATCCCAGAAGGAACAAGCAGTCCTCTTGATGTAAGAGTGGCAGGGACAAAAGACCACATTGTCATTTCTAGGGAAACACGGAAGACTAAAGTCAGCTTGACTTCAGACTACGAATTGGGCCTTTCATCCGGATTGCAAATAACAGCAGCCGCTACTTCTTTATCTTTTCTCTTTTCCCCTCTTTATTCATAAGCTGACTGTTAATCAGGAAATACCTGGGGCAGATTAGCAATGCAACTTGGATATTTGGTCTTTCCAACCCAGCTCTGGAATAAGGACACTTTTCATAAATTTCTGGCCAAAAGGTTCTTGCCCTTTATGTGCACATTCAAAGTCTTTTCTAAGTGGAAACATACTGCCTGACATCCTGTGTCACTCCTGAGTTTCACGTGGAAAAATGACCAACGAATGACATCTAAAAACACAGGACTGTATTTTTAAAAACAAGACAAGTCATTCAGAAATCTCTTGCTTTAGTTTTTTTCTGTATTACCACAGTAAAATATGTAACAAATTCAAGAGATTAATAATAATGACCTATGGTTTCACATGAATGGAGTATCAACAACTAAAATGACCAGGGAAATAACTTGAACAAAATTTAACTGTAAAAAGTGATTCACTATTTCATTTGTACAGTACTGAAACCACCACAACATTTAAACATTCAGAAAGTCTGAAGTAATTTAAATAATAATTGATAACACTGAAATATTCCAACATCATGAAGTATCTTTTGAGTAAAAACACATGAAATTTTGTTCAGTATAACTTCAATGAAGTTTCTTTACATGGAACAACATACTTTTTAAAACTGGCAATCCATCTAAGATACACACTAAACCCTTAGACTGTTCAATAAATAGAATTCCACAATGCTTTGCTGTTATACATTAATGAGCTTATAATTCAGGGAAAGCCTTTTCAGAAATCCTAGTCTATAGAATAACATGTTTAAATTGTTTGGTCCTATTAATTTTATGAGCAAATACCTCTGACTCCTTTGTAAGATGTTTAATTCTGCCAAACTGACTTGAATTTTATCAAAACAAACCACAAATGCAGTGTGGCTCTCCAATCTCCATGAGTTTCACTCCAGTGTGAGCCAGACATATACCTCTCCACCAGTTTGCTACGGCACAGCTCTAACACTGTCCACAAAGTACACTGCCTTCGCTAGAGTTCTGGTAGAGTGTGACGTTAATAATGGCATGTGGTGTTTCTTAGCATAACCTGCCAAAACGTGATGATTTCCTTAGAGGAGAATCCATGGGCTGCAATCACACGTCTGAGCTGACAGACATCCAGATGGATTCTATACAGAAAGAAAAGGTTTGTGTCTTCCGGAATATGAATGTCCACTTTTAACAAATTCAAACAGATCCCAACATAAACATCTTCAAACTTGATAGGTTTTACGTGACCCATCATTTCATAGATCCTTGGCACCAAATCTTTGGACATTATATAGCCCAACCCACTGCAGTAGGGAGGGAACACCTTGAAAGGATACTCCTGATATGAAATATGAGTTTTTTGGTAAAATCCCCTATAAGAATAATTATCAATTAGAGGATAACCTGTGAAAAACTTCTCTGAGTGGTTCAAGTTTAAGAGATACTTCACTAAATTACCTGTATTAATAAAAACATCAGTGTCTGTCTTCATAATATACTTGGCATTGGGGCAAAACTCAGTGACCCACCTGAACGCCATAATGGTTTTTAAGGTCAGGTTATTGTATGTGTCTAGAAAATCCTGTCTTATTATGTCACCATAGAGAAGGTGCTCATCCTCCAAGGACAGCGCTAGCATTTTGTCTTCCCTTACAGATTGCTGACCTAGTAAGAAAAACGTAAGAACTTCATATCCCCACCAAGACTTCTTTTCACCCCATGTAACCCTAATGGCCTGCCTGGCTTTCACATCTGAAGGGTGTGACGTCACAAGGATGACCAGAAATGGGTTCTGATGAGAGCAGTTCGAATGCTCTCGAAGTGTGAAGCGGAAGTCTTGCCTGTAAACCGGCTCATACTCATAAAAGTACATTAAGTTCACACGCTCGATCACATTGTAGTGTGGAAGGCTGAGGTACCACATCACCAGGAAACTCAGGAGTGACAGCAGCAAGAGGCTCCATTTAAGGGACCTCAGTGACATCCTATTGGGAAGGGCAGTCAAGAGAGTCAGGGCCATCCACAGCAGCTGAGAAGACCACCAGGCACAGGCTCTGAAAGATTTATCAAAGGTCAGGTTAGAGCCTAGCAATTCAGACACACTCAGTTGATACTGGGTATTTATGTCCTTCAGGAGAAAGAGCAGAAACTCATCAAAGCAAAACTAGAAGTCCAGACCTAACTCCCCTTAACTTCATTTACCTATGAGCAAATAGGTAACACTGAAAATGTATTTTAGCTTTTTACATCAAGACAAAGAGTAAAAATACATCCTTTAACTATTCTGAAACAACTTTTTATTCTAAACAAGTAACATTATTATGAAGTATAGTTTTTTTCTCTCAACATCTAGAAGAACAGAAAGGGATAGGTAATGGTGAGTTTAGCAACACATCCAAATAAACCAAGTGTCTTTCTCAGTTGTGGACCTGATTCTACAAAATCTGGAAAGAAAAAAAAAGCTGTGGCAATAATTATTTATGGTGGCTGCTAATATAAAATTAGGGCAGAGCTGGGGGTGGTGGCAATCCTGTAAAGGAGGCTGAGGCAGAAGAATCTCAAGTTCTTCACAGCCATGCTGAATAACTCAGTGAGAACTAGGCTTTAAATAAATGAGTAATGAAGGTGAAGGCTTTACCTAGCAGGTGAGTCTTCCAGAAGCCAAGTAGAACAACCAACTCTCGAGCTTTAAAATGCGCAGGCTGTGAAATAGCTTTTACTTACCCAAAACCCACCCCTGCTCCCTTTTACCTAATTGGCTGAACTCAGTGCTTAAATTAAAGGTTCATCCTTGTTTCTCATCCCAGTCCACTCAGAAATCACAGACCATGTCAGCGTTCCCTCCACACACGGGAGGTAACTGTCCAGAACTCCTGACTTCACCAGAGCCCCCAACTGAGATGAGGAAACAGCTATGCGCCCCAGTGTTTTCACACCATGGAAACAGCTCCAGACCTCACGGGGCTTTGCTGTGCCGCAGGATAATGTGGGGACATTCACACGGAAGCGTTCACTGGGTATCTGCTGCATCAACAGGCTGCCCCTAGTGCTAAGGACACAAGAAGAAGTAGAAGACGGGAAGAAAAGAAGATCCCCAGGCAACCTGTCCACACGGTGTGAGAGCACAGTACAGACTGTCTCCATCGAGTGCTAAGGCACTTCATCTGGGGCTGTGGAGGCTTCTCACAGGAGACGTTTCATCCCGTCATCTGGACTCCTGGGGACCCAGAATTTGCTAAGGAGAATGCACCTTAATGTCACCATGTGAGGGGTTGTGTACCCTGGTCAATTTTAGGGTCTCTGGACACACAGCTTTTTTGCCTTTTAATACTTATAAAAATGGCCTGACCTCAAAACCTTGCCTTCCCCATCCAGCAACATTCACTGACTCAGATTATTTTTGGCCATAATAATTTTTTCTGTCTCTAATGGGTTCTGTATTTTAAGACACAATGTAATGGGCTGTTTTAGCAAACTCTGCCTGGTTCCCTGTATCCGTGCCTTGCTTCTACACTTACATGACCCTGTTGGCAAGGACAATTTTTCTCCCAAATTGAAGGGCAAAACGGAGCGGCCCACTGTAGGAGCACAACAACACTGAACTTTAATACACAATTTCCATTCTCATAAGGGTACAATGTGGATCTGCCCAGCTTTTTCCCTTTCCTACTACTTGAGGGAAAGCCTATTCTAAAACCATATATATGTCTATTTCTTACCTTATTGATTTCTTCCGAAAGACCTTCAGTTTCACCACATGAACATTCAGCAGTATGCACTCATCAAAAATGATGCTTAAGATTTCTGGAAGATATGTAAGAAATTAATATTACTTACGAGCTGGGATTAGGCATCAAACAGGGGAAGGAAAAGGACTCTTCATTCCTCATTCCGTTAGGAACTAGGAACATATGTTGAAATAAAAAGTTACAAAACTACTTGTCCATAGAATTTGGAGTTTATAACATCACCATGGAAACAGGGCCCTTGGTATTGATAAATAATACAGACTAAAAATTTAAAATATATAAGGGCCTTAGATGTAGCTCAGTGGTAGGCTGCATAAGGCCCTAGGTTTGATCCCCAGCACTATGGAGAAACACACACACACACATACACACACAGAGCTAGTTTTCTGATAACCTAGTGCATTGTGTCTTATGTCACCCTACCACAGTTCCACATCCCTTGATAAAGAACCTCAGTCACTAAAGAAAGAGCAAACTACCAAAAGACACTCCACTGGTAGGAGCTCTCTGGAATTTTCTGTTCCATATACATACCCAGAGAAGGAAGCTCTGACATACAAATGCCAGTTACCACCCCAACTCACTCCTGCCCCTCCCAACACCCATAACTGCCCAAGACACACATTTATAAACTGGTAACCAGCAAGACATTCTCCATTTCCTGTCACAAGTGTTTAGGTTTTCCTCACTAGTCTAGTTAAAAACCAGAGGAGGATGTAAGAAACAGGGAGTATCAACATGTCACCCCCTATACCAAAAAACAGTCCACAGGAATTAAAGAGTAATAGACAAAACATGTAGAAACACTATGAGAATGTATAGGTGAACACTTTAATGATCTTGACATGGGAAAACCTTCCAACTAACTCTACTGTACTAAAACAACCTAGAAATTATAAGGAAATTTTGACAAACTAGTTTAAAAACTCCTAAAGTTGAAAGGAGCAAACAGATGTAAACAAAATTGAAAAACACTAAAACACTGAAGGAAAAATACATTTATGACAAAAAATTAAAAATCAGTTCTTACAGATTAAGAGGAGATAAACATGAAACAAGAATAAATGACCTAAAAGGCAACTCTCTAAAGAACACAAATGGCCACTAAAATAAGGAAAGCTGACTGTTACCGGTTGGTTCTTGATTGTACCCCAAAAGCCCACACACTACAGGCTTGCTCCCCAGCCCATGGCACCACTGAGAGGTAGCAGAACCTCTAATACAGTGATGGAAAACTACAATGCACGTGGTATTTGCTTTTAAGATAAAAGATGCTAATATGTGAGATGTTTTTTCTAAACTAAGACCTCACTATTCAGGTTTAACGGTAGTGTTGACTCTGAGATAAACAAGCGGGTTTGAGTTGTAGTTTGGGCGCTCATCTCTAAAAATTCTCTATCACCACCCTAACAGATGGGGCCTAGAGAGAGGAACGTAGGTCCCTGGGGTCTTCTTCCCTTCCTGTCTCTGTGTTTCACAGTCACCATGAGGCACAGAGGCCTCCTCCTCCATGTATTCCCCCACGATGTTCTGTCTCACAAAAGGCCTAGAGCAGCACAGTCAACCGACCACAGACTGAACCCTCTGAAACTGTGCGCCAAAATAAACACTTCCCCCTGCAAACTTATCTCAGTACTTTGTCAGTAACAGAAAGCCAAACAACACACTGTTGAAATACACAATCATAGATACTCTAATAAAAATCTCAAACTGGCAAACTGAAAAAGACAAAAGTGACACAACATGGTATGTGTAAGGGGAAAAGGAATTCCTATGGGCATTCTCGTGCACTCTCAGGAGGGCAATTGGAAAGCAACTATCAAAACCTTCAAATTGTAAATTTTTTTTGACAAATTTATGACGTGCAATGCTGTAATCAGTCCATGTATACAATGTGTGATCATTATAAGGGAGTAATTTGCATTTCTATCATCTCAAATATCATTTCTGATGATAATATTATAATATTGGAAGTTGATATATTCTTTTTCTCTGGTAATTGACAATGTTAAAAGACATTAGAAATACTTTCCCTAATTCTTCAGGATTCATTACACCTTCTTTCTATCCCCCTTCCTCCTATTCTTCTTATCCTTTCCTTTCCTCTATTCTATTCTCCACTACATGTTACCAACTTTTTTAGCTCCCACAAAGAGTAAACACATGAGTTATTTGTCTTTTTTATGCCTGGCTTATTCTATACAATATAATGTCCTCAAATTCTATTCATGTTGTATCAAATGACAGGATTTCATCTTGTAAATGGCTGAGTAACATTTCCTTGTAAACTGTACCACATTACTTTAATCCATTCATCCACCAGTGGACCTCTCAGTTGACTCCATCACTTGGATACTGTGAACAGTGCTATAATAAATAGTTTGGTGTCTCTTTTCCTTTGAATATAGACCTAGCGGTAGAATTGATGGACCATGTGCAGTACTCTTTGACCAAGCAATAGCACTGTTAGCAATTGTCCTAAAGAAATAAGCAGGGAACTATGTACTGTTTATAAAATGAAAAATTTTGATTGAAGTATCTATCAATAGGGAATTGTTTGAACAAAATTATAATACATCCATACAACAGCATTTCCTTATTCATTATATGTAATGATACTTATCTACCCTCCCTTAATATAGCACTAAGTGAAAACTCTAGTTGCAAACTATATATGTGATTCCTTTTGAAAAGTGTAAAGATATCTAGAAATCCATAGGCCATATATGCACAGCAAGACATGTGAAGGATGTGTCTTACTATGCCAGTGGTTTACATTCTGTGGGATATCTCGAAGATTTCTTTCTTCTCCCTTCTTTCTATTATCACGTGGATTTTCAACACTATTATTATTCTCTTCTCCACAATACACATTATTTCAACACAAGATGATTTTCAAAATCCATTCAAAATATAATATTAAAATAAAGATTTAATAAGTAATGCCATGCATACACATATAGATCTAACAATGTATAAATTGTTCATGACAAAAGTTATTTTTTTCTCCCCCAATAATTTTGTATGACAGGTGAATTGGTTTTACTATATCTGTTTGTAAATGAATTTTAGAGAATTCAAATGAAATGACAGTGAAATAAAGACACTTTCAAATAGACTAGTACAAATTTCACAAATTCTTCATCAAAGCAGTATTAAGTGATGTATATTAATGTGCTGAAAAGTTAACTCGAGGGGAAAGAATGGAATATAAGAAGAAAAGATAAGGAAGAAAATTAGTAAAAGATAATGAAAACTAATAACTACAAGTACCAAGAATGAAAATAATTTTTTCGTATGATTTAAAAAAAGTGAAATTTAAATATCAGGTAAAAAATTCACATTGGCTGGAAACATGTTTCAGGGAAAATTAAAATATGCTAACACTCTTAACTGGGTCAGGAGGAACAAGGAAATATTGATAAGTCTTCTCATTTTGCTCAAACACTCATTTAAGAATATATATTAACCTTCAGAGTGACCACTAACAGAAGAAATCTGGAAAGTATACCTTTCAAACTGAGAAAAAAAAGAAACCAAGGTAACAAAATGGGAGCAAATCAGGAAAAACTCCAAGGCAAATAAAAAACATAAAAGATGGCAGAAATAAATCTATAGGTACTGCCAGTTAGGGTAGTTAACCTATCTACTAAAAAATAGAGGTGCTCACAGATTGGCTTAAAATTACATCATATACTACTTATTAGACACTCACTGTATTAGCCAGATTTCCAGCTGCTGGACAAAATACCTGACACCTGAAACTTAAAGGAAGAGAAGTTATGGTTCCAGAGGATTGAGTTCATGGTCAGCTAGCTCCACCATAGGAACATCATGGCAGAAGGTTATGGTGGCTGGAAAGCAGAACAAAAGGACCAAGGACCAGATACAATACTCAGGTTATGCCTTCATGACCCACCCAGATGCACCCAGAGCCACTCAGAAGTGTGTTTTATAATCCTCTGGGCAGCCAATCAAGTCAACAATTAAGTTTAACTGTCACATAAACATATAACAATAAATCATAAACTATTATATATTTTGTAACTATATATGTTATATATAATATATAATATTACCCTGTATTATATATACTATATTATATATTACATAGCTATTATATATATTCTCATATGTCACATAGACATATTAACTACTAAAAATTAGGAAACAAGTAGGTCAGTTGGGGCAGAAAGATCACAAATTTATGTTCATCTTGGGAAATTCAATGAGACAGAAAGATCACAAATTTATGTTCATCTTGGGAAATTCAATGAGACTTTGTGTCAAAAATTCTGGGGATATAGCTCAGCGTTTCCTGGCTTCAATCCCCAATATTTTCCCCCCACTACGATATACACACTAAGAAAACACAAAAGCATGAATCAGAAAAATGTCAATAAAAATGCGACTACTGTATTTAAATACTAACATTGTACATTTTAAGGGAACACCATTTAAAATGGACAAAGGAAATTATGTTACTAATAAAAGGAATCAGCAAGAAGTACACTTAACAGTTATGATGCTATATAGCCATTAAAACATATCATCAAAATAAATACAGCAGAAGTTAAAAAGTATGAGTATAAATGAAAAAAAATGTACATTTGTAATTTGTAATACAAGATTTTAACATACTTCTCTGGGTGCTACAGTTTGAACGTGGTTTCCATAAATTTGTCTTAGTTACTTTTATCTCTCCTTGTTAAGAGAAAGTACCTGACACCCAAAATGGAGGAAGGGAAGATTTACTTCCTGCAATTTTTTCAACTGACTCCCAAGAGCTGGGCCACAGTAAATTGCTAGCTCTAACTGGCAAGAGAGAAAGACATACCTTCTTCCTGCTGTTACACTGTATGCTGGCTCCACCCCCGGGTGGGTGTAGTACTCACACCACCAATCAGAATGCCAGGCAATGAACCAATCACAAATGCTAGATTTGGTCACATCCATGACGCATGAGGCTTGGGGATGCCACTGAAATAAACCATGACAGTAACAACACCTATTAAGGCATAGTCCTTACTGTGGTGGTGTTTAAGAGGTAATTAG